TATATATTAATATATAGTATTTATATGTATTCCCTTTCCTATTTATCTCACTCTCTCACTCTCACTCTCTCCCTCCCCCCATACGTTCAGACATAAGAACGTAAATAGAATAATTCTTATTTCTATAAGATATTATAAATATATTTACAAACGACCACGAATAAATACTTACGGAATATTTTTTTTTTCCCATACCCCTATACAAACATATATATATATATATATATATGTGTATATACATACATAATATATATATATATGTTATTTAGAAATATTACATTTATATATATATATGCATATATATAAATTAAATTAAATCAAAATTAATCTAATCCTATCAATAGTATCCAACTAAATTGGGGGAAAAAAACAAGAAATTTGATTTTTTTCCGTTGTTCAACCACATAAGGAGAGAAAAAAAAGGGAATAAAATAAAATATACATATACATATATATATATAATTACCTAATGGAACTGTAACGTTTTTAAATCTTAACGCCTCATTATATCTTCTATACTAAATCCAAGTTTAGGGGGTGCCGTACTGCTCCTTTGATTGGGTCTAAGGTTTCCTATTCTTTCAGGTAATTGTTTAACTGACGTAGTTGAACTCGTAACCCTTGAACCTCCGAATATGGTACTGTCGATCCTAAGATCCTGAGGTACATCGGTATGAGTTAACAGATGGGTTTTCAAATTACTCTTCTGATTGAAACTTTTACCGCAGACCGGACATTTGTGCGGTGATTCTTCCATGTGTAATATTTTATGAACAGCCAATGTTCTACTCTGGCAAAATCCTTTTCCACATTCCGCACATTTGAATGGTTTATCCTTGCTGTGTATATATCTAAGAACGAATAAATATAACAACAAAAAGAAAAGAATATTTCATCCAGTTTAAATTGATTATACATATATATATTATTATTATTATTATTATTTAATTATCTATTATTGATCGTATGAGATAGGAATATGTATAAACTTAATTTTAAATACATATATATATATATGTGTATCTTTAAAAGAATACAATTAATACAAAAAATGAGACCAAATGTATTCGAAATAGAGATGTTATTTTATTTCAACATATTTTTTTTTTTTTCACGTAGTAATATACTTCAATATTAATTTTAATATCTGTAAATAATACAAAAATGTTGATATGACAAAATGAAACAACGAATAAATGTTATGTATGTTAATGTATAGAAAATATTAAAACCCATAATAAACTCACCGATGATCTCTCAGATGATCTTGCCTACGGAATGCCTTTCCGCAAATGTCGCACGAATATGGTCTCTCGTCTGTATGCGTGCGCTCGTGTATCAATAAATTATAACTTTTGGTAAATTGTCGATTGCAGAATTTACATATGAATTGTTTCTTCGGTCTTTGTCCGGGTAATTTTCTCGTGAGAAATGAAGCTGGGGGTTGAACCGGAAGCGGCGGATGTAGACCCTGATGAGTTTGATGATGATGATGATGATGATGATGATGTTGTTGTTGTTGTTGTTGTTGCTGCTGTTGTTGAGGATGATGATGATGATGGTGATGAGGATGATGATGATGATGATGATGATAATGAGGAGAAGTTTGTGGACAACATCCTCTAACAGCTAACAAAGCTGCACCCCTTAACCAACTATCCAAAAATGTGGTAGCTTGATAACCACCGATATTTGGTTGCTGTTGTTGTTGCTGTTGTTGTTGTTGTTGTTGATGATGAATAAATCTTCCAGAAATTTGTTGAGATCTAATCCAACGAGACGAGGATACGGTAGACGTCATTTGAAGATGTTGCATCGATCTTTCGACCGACGGAGGGGTGTGCGGTGGTGTAAGAGGTTCCATTTTAGTCTCCATTTTGTGTATATATGTATATATACGCGTGCGTTTCTTGATATTCAACAAATAATCCTTTTATTCGTAATTGTTTCACGATTATTTCGAACGATCACACTCTTACACACTCTAACGATAATCCCTTTATTCTTATTTTTTTATTTTAAATCTCGATATCACATTGCTAGGGTCCGTCCCATTTTTTCTTTTCCTTCTTTTTTATATATACGAATTCACCAAAAAATCAAATCTATCCACTTGTTATACATATATATATATATATATACGATAATAATCTATTAAGTAAGTAGATATTATAAATATCTAGGAATAGAACAAATAAAATTCGTATAAAATAATAATAATAATAATAAGAAGAAGATGAATGAAGAGGAAGAAGATCTATCCTCTCTATTACAAGGGTCCAAGCAATACTAAACTTTAGTTGGGGAGCTTGGCGGAAGTTGAACAGCTCGGTCCGTTGACTACCTGTCCTTGGAGGCGACATGATGAGGCCCCTCCTACCGCACCTTCAACTTCTGCAGTCCGGTTGGCGCACGACTTCCACAGGGGCGGAGCTTCTGGCTCTGGGGTCCCCCCGGGGCGTCGCGACGCTTACTCGTCGTTTCGTGCTCCTGCATATATATATATATATATATATATATATATACAGGCACGCGTGCGCGCGCGCGCATTCTCGCAGGTATACGTTGGAAATGAAAATACACATTTACAAGCTCATTTGTCGACTCCTAAAGAGGATAACTCTATCCCCATTCTATTTCATTTTATCATTATTAATTGTCTAGTAAGAGTCAATGTAAATACCGGTATGTCGGTTTTTCTTCTTATTCTTATTCTTCTTTTTATTCTTTTTTTATTTTTTTTTCTTGCAACATAATACGTAAGATGATCTAAACATGAAAATTGTATTTTTTACCGACAGACGCGTGCAGTACAAAACATATGGATGTTTATTTTAATTTTATTTGAATTTTATTATATTTTTGTATACTTATATATTAGATAAATCATAATAATAAGTGACGATTATGAGAAACATTTTTATTTTATGATTTATATTTTACATATGATCATAATTACACCTCGATTCTCTAACGCGCGTGTACCGAGAATATTATTTTTAGGATCTATATGTAAATACAATATATTAACCAATCTTAGAGAGTGCACCTTTAGCGTTTTAAAAAACGATAAGTTATATAGAAATGAAATGGAAACTTCTTGTGTGTATACAGTTGGGATTTCCATCGTGAACAACGCGTTCGTTTATTACGTTTGTTTCTGAAAATACAAAACTTAAGAATATTGTCCAGGAATCGTAATGTGTAAGTGCGTTTATCTGAGAAATCCATGAATAGATAGATAAGTAATAAAACCGAAAAATATAATAATCTTTACTACGAAATAAAGTTATTTCACGCGGTTTTTTTTATTATATATTTTAAATGAATGACGACACATTTCTCTATTATTTATTACCTTTATCAATTATCGTATATGAAAAATTATAATATAAAAGAAATTATTTTCTAATAGAATAAAAACTCGCTTACAATAATAATAACTTTGTTTTAACTTTGAATGACGTACCACCACCACCTCCTCCTCCTCGGGTGGGGACTTTAGTCAGACTTTATCTTCAATTAATTTTCTTGAAGGACCCACTCGATTTATCAGAGTCCATTTCTTTTGATGATTCGCCGACACGACTGCTGTGCATGAACGACAAAGATAAGAAGTCTCTGGTAGCATCTATTTACACCACTCGAATGATTCTATCTCTCTCTCTCTCTCTCTCTCTCTCTCGTTTCGTTATTTTAAATTTCTTCGAAATAAAAAAAGAAGTCTTTTTTTTGTTTGATTGATTAAAATTCATTTTCTCGTGACATCAATGGAGAGGAGCTACCTTTACACGTGACAAATGTCTCGCAAAATTACTTCAAGATTATGTATTGCACACTCATTTATCTTCTCTCTCTCTCTCTCTCTCACACAATATCACGAGTGACTAACAACCCAACACTGTTATTTCTTTATGATCGATTAAATGACACATGCGAACTTGCTAGATGATCATACCCAATTTTAATAATTATTAAGTACGCACATAATTATTCATATAAAAAATATATATCTATATAAGTTGGTAAAATTATATTCTAATTGATAGTTCTAAAAATGTATTATATAATCTAATTATTAATAATAATTATTTTATCAAAATAAATATCACCACATAATACTTTTAACAATCATATAGATAAATAAAATTTCTTTTTATTGGTTATCCATTTATAAATAGAAACGTGAGTGCAAATACTATCTAAAAAAAAAGAAACAATAAAAAAAGAAAAGATACAAGATCAAATATTAACGCATCTATTTCTAAGAATGAACTTATATAGAAAATGATTCTAACGATTCGTTTGATACCGTTCGAAATTTGTATTACTTATAGTTGAAGGTATAAGATAGTAATCGCTTTTTTTACTTGGTATATGAACGGGGGGGGGGGAAGGGGAAAGGGGGAAAGAAAAAAAAAAAAAAAAGAAAAATGTTTAAAAAAAGTAAAAAATAAATAGATGACGAGAAGAAGAGTAAGACGACGACGACGACGGAGGCAATTGGTTTTGTATGCGCCACATTCTATTCGATAACATAAATGCGGTACCTTCGTGTCGTTATCGATAAGAACGTACCACGGTAAAACGAGCTTATCGATTTATGACACTGTGCAGACAGTATGACACCGAGGGAATAAACGTGCCGACGTTCGCACTTCTTCAACGGATCTTTTCATCTTTATCCCATCCCTTTTTTTTTGTTCCCCCTCTCYCCCCCCCCCCCAATGACGTCATCATTATTATTAATATTATTATTCGATTGGATTGAAATCGAAGAAAATGTATAAGAATGAAAATAATATATGTATATGTTTTATATGTTTTAAACAATTGCATATTAAGAAACGTAATCACGATCATTTAACGTAATTTATAAATTTTCTTCT